ATTGATCATCTAAAGGACTGCACCTTTTAATGTCACGAATCTTACCCCTATGGATGTTTAACTTCCTGTGCCCTGTACTATAACAACCCCAAATCAAATTCCTGGGAACTCTGTTCAGCTCTAGCCTTAGGGGTCACTTGGTGCAACACCAGCTCAGGGTGGACCCACTCCTGCTCTGCCTCCATATGCCTTTTGCTTCTAGCAGTTACAACAGCAACCCAACTACCTTCACTTCTAATTCAAGAGGGTATATCCAGACTTTGTAGACAAAAAGACCTTATTGGTGATTCCTATACTCCTTAATTTTCACAAAAAGAAACTAGAACTGGGGAGAAGCATGCACACTAGTCTTTATATTAAGTAGCAATAAAAAATAGAAATGAACTTGTGACCTCTGCTATATATACAAGTATTTGCTCAGTAAGTGAAAAAATTATATCTTTACCGGAAAGCTGCTGCTCCCAATTATGCTGCTATTTCTGGGAAGAAAGTGCTCCAGGAGGGACAGGCCCAGGGTTTCTACCTGCTCAGCTGTTATTTCCTCCTTTAACTGTGATTGCCACCTGCCCACTTGCGAATTCACAGCTATACCTAGCGACAAACAAGAGGGACTGTTTTAACACCACATTTAATCAGGATCCTTGGCTCAGTTTTCTATTGCTGCATAACACACCAGCCAAAACTTAGTTGCTTAAAATAACCGCTGTTGCTTTCCTCATGCTTCCATGGTTCAGCAACTTGCTGGGGTCATTCACGTCATTGCAGTCACCTGGCAGCTCAACTATTGCCCATCATATCTCTGGCAATTTGTACGGGATGCAGGCAGGGCAGCTGGGTTCTCCTCCACGTGTGGACCAGGCAGCATTTCAAGAAGGTGAGAGCAGACACTTCTGAATTCTTACAATTTCACCTCTACCACATTCTGTTGGCCCAAGCAAGTCACAGTCCAGCCCTGATTCAAGGGATGGGGGAATAGACTCCAACATTGCTGGAAAAAGCAGCATTGCACAGGGTCATGCACACAAGGCTGAGAGGAGGTGTTACCACTCTGAAGCTGACAGAGGGATGGGCTCCACTCTAACAGAAGAGAGGAATTAAGACAGAAAAATCTTTGAAATGCATTGGGAATCATATGCATGCATTAGAAAATCTTTAGTAAGATGAAGAATTTAAAGATAAGGAAGACTGGGAAGGGGTTCTGATTTGGAATTCATCAAGAAAGCTATGAAGGTGGAAAGGAAGAAGGAAAAGAGGAATGGAGGGTGGAAGATTACTGAGATCTAAGGGTCTGGGAGGGGAAAGCACGATGGGAGGACCTGCCTCCTAAATGGTCATCTACCAGCTGTCTCCACATGGCCCCACTGCATCCCATCCTCATTCAGTCTGCAAAGCCTGGGCTGCATTTTCTGATCCATCCTCTCTACTCTCACTCCCACGTGCAGGATCTCCTCATCTCAGACCTGATTGCTATGACATCATCCAAACAACTCCTCCAGATTTTCTCATCTGGTACATCCTGCGTATCACACCTGCTTGGTTTATTTGTTGTTAAAACACATTTTCATTTCTTCCTGAATAAGTAAAGTAAGATCACATTTTGAAATTCAAAAGGCACAAAAGGTACACAGACAGGAGATCAGAGACTTAGACAGGCCAAGCAACTTGCCTCTTTGGAGGTGGTAGAGCCTAGACCTGAAGGCTGACCACTAGGCTCTTGTCCTTGACCGTGGCACTGCTGGCCTCTAGAATGGGGCTCCTCATCTGCCCTGCTGACAGAAAAGTTAGAGATTATGTCCTGCCAACTATCAAAACTAATAAGTTGACTTTGAAGAACATGTGGTAGAGCCTAGACCTGAAGGCTGACCACTAGGCTCTTGTCCTTGACCGTGGCACTGCTGTATTGGGGCTCCTCATCTGCCCTGCTGACAGAAAAGTTAGAGATTATGTCCTGCCAACTATCAAAACTAGTAAGTTGACTTTGAAGAACACGTGAGAAGTGTAGACCTGCACACTTCTTGGCTAAAAGAATAACCAGGAGAGCCTTGCAAGCAGTCAGAATTGACACTGTCTCAGAAATAGGAAGTTATATGAAACAGATACCAAACACTAGTGTTCTAGCACACAGAGTTATGATGTATTAATTTTGGCAACACTTGTACACCTTGTCATGTCAATAAAGACACTGAAATTGAAAGCAGAAATTGAAAACTGGGTGTGACCTGCATCTATCAGTGACCCTGGAGTCAGTAAGAAACACTGAAGAAAGGGACCCTTGGGAAGAAAGTGATTAGTACCGGGGAAGGAAGGAAGGGTCTCTGGCTTTATGCCCCGTGTCTAGCCTCCTTACTTGAAAATAGCCCTGGGAGAAGATCTTTTCCATTTGTGCTTCATCTTCTCAATTGAGGAAAGGGACATGGAATAAGCAGATTGTTTAATTTCTAGAACTCAAACCCACAGTCTTCAGGTGATGTATCTATGCATATTTATGCTGCAGATGCTAAAAGGGCTGTGTCTATATTTGTATATGATCGTGCAGCATTTTCAGAAGTGTGCACACAAGCCAGAAAACATTTACCAGCAGCACCTTCCACACTGTATACTGGCAAAGGCTCATGCCATTGGGCTTTGAACACTGGTGTTGTAGCAACATGAGAAAGAGGAAGGTCATCCTGCCACTGGACTGTGCAGAAGTCCATCCCACAGTCCGGCAGACTTATCTGAAGCCTGACTTTCCAGTCATTCTCTACTCTGTTAAACCTCAGGAAACTCCTTTCCGTTTATCACACAACGTCTTGCTTAAAAGGTCATTTGCATATTTCTGCCATTCGGAGATGTTCTGCAGTAAGAGATGTTTACAGCCAAAAGGGTGAATCTTAATCATTTCTTGGAAAAAAACATTTGGAGCAATTTCTGATGCTGGCTTTTAATCAGCTACCTAAGCCTGGTGGGGGTAAATGGATCTTCTAGCTCATTCATGAAAGGAAACTTCCTCTAGCCTCTATGCCCATGCTAGCCTGGACCTGGGCATTTTTAAAAGAAAATATTTTCACTCATATAACACTAATTCTCAAAGCTGAAGTCTGAGTCCATTTTCTCTTGTCAGAAGAAAATCCTGTTTTATTTTCTCTCTTCCTTTGAATTTCATAATAGACCACTCAGGAAGCAAGAGAAGAAATGTAGGAATGTTTTTTCTATATGTTACACAAAATCTATATGATTCAACCACAAAAGGTTACCTTCCTGTACACCTTGATCTCCTACCCATTAAAGTGGGTAAGGGAAAGAACACAGAAGAAAGTGAGATTGCTTTATAAACACAAAGGGCTGTCTGGATTCTCAAAAATACCAACCTGGGTACCTCACAAATACTAGACCATGTGTATTCATAAATTATAATTTCACTTCATATGATCAAATTTTTTAGAAAAGATATAAGCACATTTGTAAAAACATAATAAACCTTGAATTAATAGGTATAAAATATTATACAAATTAACTATATTAAAATAAAAATTCTATCTGTTGCTTTATGTATTATGCATAGAAAGCCAAATTTAACACTGCCTTCCTCATCTGTGTGTGTGTGTAGAAGAAAGTACAAGGGAAATAGGACTAAGGGTGAAGGGCTGAGTTTCCAGTTTGCACACTAGAGACATGAATATACCGTCTGTGTCTTTAGCAATCACTGTCTGACCATGAGATGCAAGAATGTGACTCCAGGGTCTCTTCTACAGTAATAGGGCCATCAAGGCAAAGGCAGGCAGATCCTAGAGCCAGGTACCTTGTAATCATAGACTCAAGTCAAATCCCCTCTATTGGAATATAAATTATACCTTTCTGTATTCCACGTGCCAAGGTTACAGCGGCTTTGCTTGATGACATACTTTTAGCTTGTAGTTACCCAACAGCAAGCATGTTTCTCCAACAAAATATAAGTTGAATGAGAATAGAAGTGAGAAAGCCAGCCTCTTCCTGCGTCTCACATTCCTCATTCACAAGCCTGCATCTGAAGCAGGTGAGAGGAGGAACACATTCCTGATGAGTCATTCCCAGCTTGGGGCACCATTTATAACCCAATTACTGAAGTCACTGGGAATGGGATGAGACAGTAATAACCCTCCTCTGTTCATTCCTTCTAGTGAAACTGCTGAGAGGGCTTTAAAGAAAGTCTGGGTGTTTGTCAGGGAAGAGATGTGAGTACAAACAAGGTGCCTGCTCTGAATAGGTCGTTAATCAGTTTCGATACCTGCCACTCAAACCCACCAGATAATTCCCACCCCATTCGCCATTTATATCTATCTATCTGTATAGATATATGTTATTGACTAGATATATAGATAGATAGATATTATTTTCTCTGACATCTTCAACTTATGTATCAGGCCTGCAAAGACTGAAGTCTTCAGACAAACACAAAAATGGAGCTTTGCTGAAGCCCAGGAAGAAGTGCTCCTGTTTGTCTTTATTATTTCAGTGTGCAAAATTGCCTCCCATCAATCACCTATTCACTGCTCTCAATAAAAGAAGCTCCTTTCTGGAACAATAACCTGGAATCAGTGTCAAAAGTTAATCCCCACTTGACATGAGGGATGTAGTTTATAGACTTGTTTTGGTAATCAAGATTCCAGTACACATTTAGAACAAGGCAAGCTATTTACAGAGCACATTTTCCAAACAGATCTTCTCTTTTTTATAGGAGTGCTAAACTAAACACATGCCTGGGTCACTTCTGTGATTGGTTTATTATGGCGAAAGTTGGTTGCTTGAGTCAGTCACTAATGTTATGACATCAGTCAAGAGACATTTACAGATTGCCTTCTACATGTAAGGCAGTAGAAAGGCTGAATTTGTGTCCAAGCTTCAGATAGACTGAGGAAAACAGTGGCTTCAAAAGTGGAGCTGCCTGGAAAAACCTGGTGATGTCCACACTGTGTGCCAGAAAATGATATCAAAATCTGTCATCATAAGTAAAAGAATACAAGCCAAAAAAATAGTGCTAAATATCTGCAATATCACTGTCATTCAAATAATCACTTTAAAAATACCTGGTAAGCACTAAGAAATAAGCACTAAGAGTCAGGGCTGGGTGCTGCTCCCAACATGGCATCGACACACTGCACAGGCAAATTCCTCTACAACACTGAGTTTCAATTTCCTCGTATGTAAAGCCAGGCAGCAGGAACAGTATGATCTATTAAGTCCATTCCAGTACTGAAATTTTATGATTTTGTGATTCTACCGAGTCACTCTTCTATTAACAGTGAATTACTTTTAACAGAAAACAGATATTAAGAATCAAAACCAAACACACATTTTGCCTTTCATTGTTAATATACATCTTCAAAATCTCAAATCTTCAGTACACCAAATTACATTACATAATTACCATGCAACATCTACTGGTATTATCCACAAATGCTATATTTTGTCAAGACTCCATGTCTAAGAGTAATTAAAAATTCTGAATATTGAATTCTTTACAAAGTGCACTCATCAACCACTAATGATTATTCATTTTTGTTTTGCCATGATTAACTCACCTCATGTCTTATTATCATAATTGGTTCTAATTCCCTCATTCTTCCCTAGCTGAATAATCTTCAACTATCATTGGGGAGGAACATTAAAGGGACTGGTAATTTTATAATATAAGAAAAGGCTGAGATACAGCTAATAATTACTTTCCAGAATATGAAGCAGCAGATTGTGATCAGCTATTTTTCATTTCCACAAAGGAGAGAGAAAAACTGAAACAGGATGAAAGGTTGTGATTACCAAAAATAAAGAAGTTCTGATCAATGTTGCTCTCTAGAATTTGATACTAAGAAAAATTGGCAAACCTATTTTTCTGGATATATTTAAGAATATGGGAGATATACTTTGAGTGCTTGAATTAGAGTGCTTCTTAAAATGAGACAGAATATTAATTTTCTACTTTCTTTTAAATATATCTTGGTATATTTAACAGGCAACCACGAACACCTTTCTAACCATTTACTCCCACAAAAGATGGGATTCTATTCCTGAGTTTGTGTCTTAAATAAGAGTGTTAAACATAGTTTCTACAAAGCTATATCTAAGCTCAATCATGTGTATTGTGAAAATATGCCCCAAGGAAATCTGGAGCAGACCTATCTCTGCTTCAGTATTTCCATGGGAAAGGTTTCTAAAACATTTGGGTCCCTTCTTTGGGATTTTATAAGCACAAACGGACTGGTGGTGCTGCTGTCCATGAGCAGCGGAAGGATGAAAGAATGAACTAGCATAAGACTTTATAAGAATTAAACAATAAATATTGATGACTGCTATATCTTACCAAACTTTACATGTTCTCTTATATAATCCTCACAACAAACCCAAAGCCATATTCTCAGAAAAGTTCATTTGCCTCGGGTTGCACAACTTGTAAATGAATGAGTAAGAATTTGGATCCAGATAAATTCTTACGTCTAAAAGTTAATAAAAGGAAGAATTATGGACAACATTTTCAAACAGATTACATCTGATCTGAAGTTTCTCATCTGCATGTTTCAACCACATTCATTTATCTGACCCTGTTAACCTGGGATTGATAACTGTTAGAATTTCGAAGTAGTGGGAAAAAATAGAAATTATAGATTTGTTAATTAATGATATTGGGTAGCCATCTAGGAAAAGGTATCAGTTGGGTGGTCACCTGTTGGATCCAAATTGTTCAAAAATTTTAATATTAGTTAAAAATGGAACTATAAAAGTACTTAAAGAAATATGACAAAATATTTAG